ATTGAAAAATTTGATAGAGCCCTAATGGTTAAATATATGTAATGTTTTTTAAAATGTTTTTACCTTCTGTCTTTTTCTCTCTGTCAGAGTTCAACTTCAGGCCGTGTGCGAGTGGTGGATAATGTGTTGATGATTGATGAGGTGGTGCCCTCTGATGGTGGATTGTATTCCTGCATGGCCACCAGTTCTTCTGGAAATGCATCAAGAGATGTCGCCATATACAGTAAGACTTTGTCTTCGTCATATATGGTTAAATGGAGAAAGTGCCTTTATACTTTATTTATAACACCAGTACATGTTCTGTTTCTTTTATATTAATTTGTGTTTTGCTGTTCCCTTTTTCATTTTTTTCATTTTACACCCTAACTTCAGCTCAGCCCGGTCCACCTCTCTACCTGTCAGTCTCTGCGGGTCCAGCTTCAGTCCACTTCTCACTGAAAACCACACCTGTGAGTGGAGGAACACCCATCACAAGTTTTGTCCTGCAGTGGAAAGAAAAACCCACAGAGCAGTGGAAGGAGAACACCGTCCCGGCTACAGGTAAAACACCTCCTCTTTCCAGCCGTGTATATGCATCAGTCATCATTTACACTTTCACCTGCTCACAAGTAAAAGTTTTATGAATGAGTGAATGAGCAGTAAGACTTGAATATGTGCAGTATCTGATGCTGTTTGTGTGTTTTTGTAGATCCTCTTGTTATCAACCTCAAGCCGTACACTTCGTACACAGTACGCCTCTCTGCACTGAATGCAGTGGGACGTGGAAAGTTCTCTGAGACACACAACGTCCACACACAGGGAATACGTAAGTTCTTCACACATTACCAACATATTAGTTAAAGCATACATTATATCTCTAATTCATTCCATAAATTGAAATAGGTGTGAATGAATTCCTGGTTCACACTGTGCAGGATGCTTGCTGATATTTTTGTGGTACTACATCCTCATCTGCTATCATTACTTTTTCTTTTCCATGTCATCTTCTTCCGTCTCCTGATATTCACTCGCGCTGTTCATCACATGATGTAATCCACCGTCATCCATCCTCAGAAGGTAAAGTTCTCACAGTTTTTTGCTAAACTAACCTGACATGCTAGTTTAACTAAATCAGTCAAATGCAGTGATCGGGTTTTAAATATTGTTATGAATTCTTCATGTTTTTCTTCATGTCGTTCCCACAGGTGAACCTGACAGTCCAGTTCTATCCTCTGATGAGATGAAAATAGAGGGCAACACCTTCTCTGTCCCTCTTAAATACACGGTAGATGGTGGCAGCCCTGTGTTGCAGTTTAATGTTCGATACAGACAGGTAAGAGGCAGCATGAGCCTGTCTTTGTGTTTGTCTCCATCAGCCCATTTTCCTCGATTAAGTCCTTTGGTTGCTCTGCTGTCTTTAACCAGGATAAAGAAGAGGCTGAGTGGAAGGAACTGCAGATGCCACCTGATGCTGACTCTGTTTCCCTCAAAGACTTGGCTTTTGGTTCAAACTATCAGCTGGAAGTCTCAGCAGTTAATGCCAACGGTTCCTCCATACCTGCAACATTCAACTTCACCATCGCAGAACAGTCTGGTATGTGGCCTCTTGAGCTCTGCAGCATATACGGAGCTAGAAATTATTCTCAGAGTGTAATTTATACATCGAAAAACTGACACTCATACAAAATCACAGCAGATCTACCTGAATAATAGAATTTTCTTGTCAGAATAAAGATGTTTAATGTTTTCTGTTTGCACATTGAGACTTTTTCCTCTCTCCCACCAGCCAAGAGCGGCATGACCAAAGGCGCTGTGGTTGGCATCGTAATGATCATCTTCCTGGTGGTATTCATTGCTGTCGATGCCACCTGCTGCTACAGAAACCACTGCGGCCTGCTCATGTGCATTGCAGTGAAGCTCTTTGGGCAGAAAGTTCCAGTAATCAAAAAGCTGGAAGAAGGAGGTGAAAAGGGGTAAGTGTTTGGAATAAGCTGGAGGAGATGAAGCTTATAGCATATATTTCCATGATCATAACTCAAATATTTATGTGTTTTGTCTGCAGAGAAGTAAAGCTGAAGGGCATGTCCACTCTGAAAAGCAGTATGCAACAGGTGGGGGTCCCACTCAAGGAAGGGAAATGTGACAAGGCCCCACTCACCAAGAATGAGTACGTTCATTTTCTCCCACACACTGTAAATCTACACAGATATGTCATAAACATGCGTTGATCTCATTGACTAATTATTTTTGTCTCGCAGGAAAACCCAACCTGATAGAGACCTGCCCAGCATTAATGCATGAGACAAGAAAACAAAGACGGGAAGATTTCATGTACTTTACAAACAACAAAAGAAGAAGTGAAGTAATGATAGGTGCCATGGGAAAGGGCAAACATTTTAACACTCCGTAGGGGACTGGCTGACTTTGGCCTGACCCAAACCTCTGAACGGTTTCAGTCAGAGGACAGCGATTCTTTGTGCAGCCTCTCGTGACAGCACCGTCCTCTCCTCAAGCTTCTAGCTGACCTGGTTGATACATGACTGCAGACATGAGATTAGCAGAATTTGTTTTTGTTACTATGTCTGCTTTTACAGGGTAATCCTCATGTCTGTGGTTTACAGGCTAAAACCATTGTTGTTACTTTCTAACTTTACACTTGATTTATGAAAAAAAAAATCATAAAGACACAACAAAGGTTTGCCTTTCACATTTGAATGTTACACAGGCGTGAGGACCTAGTTCATTTTGGTTTTTGTTGCTAACTTTTTATTATTACTGCACTGTGGCAGCTCTACTAACTTATGTCTATGACAAAATATCTTATTAATGTAACACCAAATATGACAACTTTACCATGTGGACTATTTAAAGGGCAATATATACTAAAGCTACACATAACCAACCTTAATTTAAAGTATGCTCATTTGTATTGGTATTTATTGGGTTTAAAAGCCGTACCGTGACTAAATGAGAAATGTTGCAAAAATGAAAAACATAATTGGACTTTTGAGCCAGTTTTGTTCTCAAGCACTTTTTTAGGAAAAGTTTTGAAGCTCTGCTAGTATCACTGACCACTTAGGGGACCTTAAAATGAGATCCCTCTTTAAAGTACCTGTAATAATAGCCGACATGTATGATATGGTTGCTAGACACAAAACTGATTGATGTAACTCATTTTTGTATTTATGACCAAATTAATGATTACAGGACGCAAGCTGTTCAAACGACA